TTTAATACAGTATCGTCAATTTCTCGAGAAAATATTTATGGTACGTTTTTAATGGATATAATTGAAAAAATCAAAGTTTATTTTCATCTATTTATGTATCAAATTCTTCGATCACTAATTGTAATGTTTAGTTATAACTTTGCAACCAAAGTTGTTGGTTTTATCAAATATATACGTTAATTCATACCATTTTTATTTTTATTTTTTATACAATAATACATAAAAGTTGATCTAGATTCGTTAATTATTTATAACAAAGTCATAAAAATATTAAAAAATCACTTTGAAGTTTAAAAAAATCAGTTTATTTAGATTTCAGTTTATTTTCATAGCCCGCAGATGTTAAAAAACAAACAGTCTTCTTTTTTCAGACTGCAGACGTTTGGTCCGCCTCTTCTACTGCAGAGGTCTACAGATGTGGTCCGCAGACTGCAGACATTTTGCCTTAGAAAAAACAAACAGCACCCAAGTGTTCAAGTGAGGAAACATTAAGTCAACCATCTTCCCCTTATTGATTTTACATCAAACTCTTATTTTTGTTGAATTTCTATTTAAATTTTAGTTTAACTCTGGTTTTATTTCAAATATTTCAAAAGACCAAAACCCTCATTTTTTACTTTTATTGTCATTTTACAAATATTTTTACAAAAACATTTTCATAAAGTTATAAAATTGAACAAATCTTCGTAGATTCGACCCATTTACCACTATACACTATTTTAGTGTACAAGATTTAAGGCTATTTATTTTGTTGGCCTCGACAACCACCTAACACCTTTTATTTTGACTATTCAATTAGCTTTGCATTCACTCGACCTGTCATCCAACCAAAAACGTGACATTTCAAAAGGACAAAAAAAAAAGATAATCCTTCTTGTTAGTATATAATGGTTAAAGCAGTGATAAGCTTCGAGCCCAAAAAAAAAAAAAAAAAAAAAAAAACGTTTAATGAATCCAAAGATTCAAAAAATGGTATCTACTTTTTAGTGCAATGACAGCACATGTTCTTTCACGCAAGTTACCATTGTCTAAAAAGTAGATATTCATTCCTAAATCTTTGAACAAAGTATTCGATTTATGCAATATGTTGGAAAACTTTTATAACATATACAAATTCATTTCAATAAATATGACATTTTACTAATGATTTAATCGGTCCGAATAGTGACTATATAAAAGCAAATAATATACTTTGTCAACATCCTATCTATCCAACAAACAATATAGGTTGTAAATCAATTCAATTCTTAGTTCCTTCAATTTCATTTTCGATTTCAATTTTGAATCGGTTCAGTCTATTTTAGAACTGATCTCATCTCTATACAAAGGTAAATAAACATAAAAACGTAACAAACCAGAACCATATATGATATGAATTTGTAAATCGGTTCAGTTCTCGGTTCTTTGAATTTTAATTTTTTGGTTTTGCTATTTTAGATTGGGTCCAGTTGTGTAACTCCTCAAGGTCATGCAAGGCTCTTGTCATGTCGATCTCATAGTGATTGGTGAATAAAGGCATTGTCCATCAATGTAATTCACAACAAAGCACACACAGGACATCTACTTTGGTGTTGTTTATTTTTAGAAGCGAAAATTCATTAAGTCTGCAGACCACCTCTGCAACCATCTGCAGCAGAAAAGATAGACCAAACGGCTACGGCATTTAATAAAAAAAAGTTTGTTTGTTTTTTAAAATCTACAGTCTGCTGCATTAAACTGAAATTTGAATAAACTTATTTTACAAACTGAAAATAGTTCTCAACATCTAAATTTTAATAATTCTAGTCAAAAAAACATTGAAAAAAATACTAAAAAAACATATAAAAACAAAAATATAAAGTTTCAAAAAAATCTTAAAAAATATAAAAGAAGCTATCAGTCTTTTT